ATTGGGACTAATATTCAGACCTTTCTCTTTCTCATGTCAATTGATATACGCCTCTATGTTGGGCCATTCGCCTGCTACACTTCTTACAAACCGAAAGTGTGAAATTTTTCTCAAAAACTTTCCGGACAACCTAATACCATGATTGTCTAGTGATTGATGCAATCATTGTTTGTCGTGGCCAACAAGCGATTTTTAAAGTCGTAAATTGAGAAATCAGCTATTTTTCACGGATGCTTCAGCCAGTTTAGTTATTTTTCGCTAATGGTAGCATTTCCAGGAGCAGATCTCGAGATCGTCGCAGGTGATTTTCTCTCCACAAAGACAAGAAATTTTGCGAAATCACAAAATCTGGTCCGCCTCGAGAGTTGTCTGTTATGGTTGTTATTAGTGATTTCTCGGTGGATTGTCGTGTTTTCGTAATTTTGCTATGTTCTTTTATGTTGCTGACGTTGCTTCGTGTTGAAAAATCAATCTCTCTCTTTCCTTTGATTTTTCTTTACCATTTGTGATAATTTTATTTTTGATAACATGTTTTGAAGAAATGTGTGTTGAAGATTATCCGCAGTTTGTCTTATCAACCTGTCGAAATATCTTGAGACAGCTCATTTTTCGCAGTTCATTCACCGCCTAGCGGTGATCATACTTTTACATTATCTCGCTCTTATTCAGGTGAAGACCGATGGCCAACCTCGAATTTCAGCGTAGGTTTCAATAGCGATTTTTTTGCTTTTTTCTGATGGATGAAAGTGGTTATGCATGTCCATGTTATGTGTGTTATAGCATTCCAAGATGGTTTCTCTATCAATTCTACGAATGTCCAGGGATTCACTGGAAGTATTGGTGACCAGAATCGGGTTAGTTTCACTGGATTTCTCACTTCCAACCAGTTCCTGGAAGTTTGTGGTTTTCCGAGAGTGCTTGATTCGAAGAGTCTTCAGTAAATAGCGTTCGAATATCAATCACTAATCATTATTATCATTCTACTGGTTCCGTTATCGCTAGTTTACGAATCACTTACTCGCTATGTCGGTCCAACCGCAGGTCTGTTTGTGCATCTGCAAAATACCCTTTAGGCTGCGTGCATACACTCGTTATCCCTGAGCCAGAGTAGGCGTGGCATTTGAACATGGCACGGAACTGGTTACTCGTGGAATATTCCAGTCTGGGACAACTGTCATCTTGTTCTGTGTTGGACAGAGACACGACAACAATTGTGTCAAGATGAAAATATCTCACCAGAAGCATAGACACCTTCAGATTAAGTTGAAATATTTGGCCACGCCTACCCGATCTCAGGGATTTCGAGTGTACTCTCTGTCAGCATCCACCAACGTTTCTAGTTTACGCCAGCGCCAGCGACTACAAAAGTTAGGCATTGTTCACAGTCTGCGACCCTGACGAAACGGCGGTTGGGAGAAAAGCAAAAAATAGTCATCGATCGGAGAATCGCCAACCGCTAGTTTCGCCGAACCGCCGCGGTTCGGCGGTTGGGCGAAAAGCAATAGATGTGTATCGATTTCGCTGGCGAAAAACGCCACGGCGATCGAGCTAGCGTTTCGTCGAAGGCGAAAAACGTCGCGGTTTGGCGAAACGCCCGTCGATTCGTATCAAAACCCTTTCGCCCAACCGCCAGACTCTTCGCCCAACCGCCAGTCGATACGTATCGAAAGCTTTTCGCCGAACCGCCGCGTTCCAGAGAAACGCTGGACCGCAGACTGTGAACAATGCCTTACATACAAAACTTGCGAACGCGAGCGTATACCAGTGCCCGCTACGTACACCTGCGTCTCGAGGAACCAGGGAAGTGTAGGTATTGATCTGCGATCGCCAGCGTCCACCTTCCACCAGCCTACATGAGCGTCCAGGAGTGGAGAGAATGGGGAAGTAGGAGGGTGGCAGGCAGCTGTATTAGGCACCGTAAAATTGCGGTGTGTGCAATCGCATCGTACAAATGCACCATATTGTTCATAAACGTAATTCTGTGCTGTAACAGTGGTATGGTGTATTGCACGGCCGCGATTTTGCGGCAGCTCGTCGAGTAGTCTGCTACCCTTCTACTTCCTCATACTCTCCACTTGGACGCTGGTGGACGCTGGCGCTGGCGTAAGGTCGAAACACTGGTGGACCTCCCTCCTGGACACCGGTGGTCGCTGGTGGACGCTGACGCAAAGTATGGGGTGTGTAGCAACAGAATCGTCCGGTGCAGCTGGTGGGCGTGGCCTGCGACATACTTGCGGCGAGAAGACGAAGCGTGCTTCTGGCGGTTTGAATAGGGTTATTGAAGGGAAGGTAAATATTGATATCACCCAGGATCGAGTCTTGTGTTCAGTTACGGTTAAGTTTTCAGTTAGAGTATGAAAAAGTTCAATAGAGCACGAAATTCATTGGGGTCTTTAACATTTGCTCTGGTTTGTCATCTTTTACAGAAAAACTTGGCTATCCGTCTATTATATTGACGCTGGCGACTGCGCAAATCATGTGAACCACATAAACATAGGGAGAATCACGGCCTTATCTGATTTCTTTTGTATCTGTTTATTTCCTGAAGTTGCGTTTATGGAACCGCCAAACCCGTGATCATTGATGAAACCTTCTGAATGTTGCGGATGTACGCTGTAGTAAATCATTTGCTCCAGTCGCAAAGCTATTGGTTAGCAAATGCACGTAAGTGAGCTGCTGAGTCATTCGCGCGCGATGTAGTTTACTCGGAAAGTGATATTTGGAATCACATGGCTTCGAGTGAGTGAAGTGTGAGGGTTCCTTGAAGCTCTTAGATCCTGGACTACTCACTAAAACAAAGTCCTGCTAGATGTATAGGCAAAGTCTCTGCGTCTTCCAATGGGACGATGTAACACGAACCCTTATTCCTCTCGTTGGCGTAGGTACTAACAGGGTGTAGTTCAAAACATCCATGGTAGGGCATCTGTCCTGGCACTCTGAACTGAGAAAATGAGTGCAAGTAAACACTATGATCAGACACAAGTGGTTCAGTGTAGAATTGCTGTGCTGAGTCAACTAACTAAGAAGTACTAGTCGTCTTGCGCGCTAAGTCCTGGGGCCGTATGCACAGGACATTCACATGTGATACAGGTCGAGGGGAGACCTGTATCACCTGTGCTCCCGTTGATCATCGAGTTCCTCGAGCGGGCGCCAGTAACGTCTCCATTCGTCCCTGCAACGTGCAAGAGTTGCCCAATGACTCTCTCTGCTCGAGGGACACGATGAACTTCATACCATTCGTTCAGAGCTTTCACGAAGAAGTCTGACCATCGCATAGGCGGTCGTCCAGGCGTTCGCTTGACATCCCGTGGAATCCAGTCGGTGATCGCTCTGGTCCAGCGGTCGTCCTCGAAACGCATGACGTGCCCGGCCCACCTGATCTTCGAAACCTTGGCAAATGCGGCGGCGTCTCTGATCTTCGATCGTCGGCGGAGTGCGGAGCTCCGGATTCCCTCTCTCACTTGCGTGTAGCGGGGGCGCGTTGAATAACGCCAACCGCATGCTCATCCTGCTTTCGTAGAGTCCAAGTCTCTGAGGCGTACGTCAAGGCAGGAAGGACCGCGGAATCGAAGAGGTGGGCACGGAGCTTGGTGTTCTTCGTCTTCTTCGCTACTCCCTCGATGTTCTTGAAGGCTCCCCAAGCCGCTCGCTTCCTCCTGCTCAGCTCTGGTGCTAAGTCATTCATCATATTGATTTCACGACCCAGGTACACATAGCTAGAGCATTCAGAGATGGTCGTTCCGTTGAGCGTGAATGGGGCATCAGAAACCAATCCGTTTCTCATGAACATCGTCTTCGTTAGATTCAGCCGTAGACCGATTTTTCCACACGCGCAGTCAGCCAGCATTCGTTCCGCTTGCTCGATGTTTGGTGTTATCAAAACGATGTCGTCAGCAAAGCGGAGATGGTGTAGTTGCCGACCGTCGATCACTCCCATGTCTTCCCATTCCAGTTGACGCATGACGTTCTCGAGAGAGGCGCTGAAGAGCTTGGGCGAGATGGTGTCGGACCCCTCTGACATCGATGATGATCTCCTTGTAGAATGGTGAGATCTTGGTCGTGAAGTTGCTGTAGAGCTCACGAAGAATCCTGATGTACTGAGTAGGAATACCCTGGTTGCCCAGGGCTTCGATAACCGCTTCTGTCTCAACGGAGTCGAAGGCTTTCTTCAAGTCGATGAACGTGAGACATAACGGCATCTTGTACTCTCGCGATACTTCGATGAGCTTCGTTACCGTGATGTGATCGATCGTGCTGAATCCTCTTCGAAACCCTGCTTGCTCGCATGGCTGTCCTTCGTCTAGTGTTCTGCCAATCCTGTTCAGGATGACTCGTGTGAAGAGTTTGTAGACTACAGACAGCAGGCAGATTGGGCGATAATTGCCAATGTCCAACAGGTCTCCCTTCTTGTACAGCAACACAGTCTTGCTGGTTTTCCACGAGTGGGTACCTTGCATTCCGACAGGTAGCGCGTGAAGAGTCGAGCCAGAGTTTTGACAAGAACTGGCGGAAGATTCTTCAGATGTTCGGGTCTGATCCTGTCGGGACCGGGTGCCGTACGATTCTTCCTCGACGAAATGGCGTGTCGGAATGCGAGGTACCCACCCTTCCCCTAGTAATCCTCCACTCCCTGCCCTTATCTCTACTGATGCCCCTCGTCTCTCTGGCTCTCGCCGCTCTGCATCCATACTCTTCTGGCGCACGCTCTGAGCGAATATAGTACAGCGCAGAGAATAATCGATCTCTTCCCCTCTCCCCAACACATGCCGTTGGGGGATTCCGGGTGACTGAGGGGAACAGAGATGCAGAGAGGCTGAAGCAGAGAGACGATGGGCATTGATAGAGATAACGGCAGACAGCGGAGGTTTACTGGGGGTATCTTCACCTCGAGGGGAAGTATAGCATACGGCCCCTAAACCATACCCATGCCAATGTGAGTGCCAGTCAAGGGCACGGTTAACCACAGAAGTCCCACTCACACAGTTTGCGTGCCTGCAGCCTCAGGCATGAAAAGAACGAATCTCATGGATCGCTTTCCTAATGTTATTAGTCAAAGCGTCCATCAAATCCGATGTGAGCAGTATTCGACGTATTCATTCTATATTAGGCGATCATCTTTGCGACTGAGGAAATCCAGGCAATTTGGGATGTTGCACGATCGTGCGATTTTAGAGGCTCCCGAAACACTGGATCGTCGAGTCTCTCAAACCGTCCAGATCGCTCACTATCCCAGATCGCCGGATCGCCGATTCTCCGTAATCGTTAGCAACCAGCCGATCAATACTCATTAGCTTCTTTGGCGCGCAACCGCTTGAAAGGCCGAATCTCCCTCGCCGTATCGCTTAGTATTCGCAGCCGCTAGATATTTCCCTATTCTTTTCTCGTCGTGCAGTCTCTTGAATCGCCCTGTTTCCCTAATCGCCGAATCTTCTTAGTCGCAAAGTACGAACGCAGGCTACAAGGGGGTTGGTCTAGTTGCTGTGAGTGTAATCCACATTTTTTCCAAGTTACTCTTATACTGAAGTCCTTTGAAGGAAA